AAATATCAAACATGTTTGATATTTTTCGTCATTCGTGACAAAAATATTCTCGTGTGCGGCGAGCAAACGACAAGCGCGCCTGATTGGAAAATTTGCGCATGCGTGCAACTTGCAGAATTAAAAACAAGACACGAACTCGTGATTTTGATCCGCCATGTTGTTTTTAATTCTGCAAGTTGCACGCATTCGTGTGCGGCGGGCTTAAGGTTGGTATTTGCTCTATTTATGCAAATATACGTGCTTTTAAAATCATTTCAACTTTAGCCATGGTAGACAATTTACATGTGATTGCAACCGCTCTGCAGTGTTTAGCAATTTTGGGTAACATTTTATTCTCCGTGCATATACCTGTGCGGGGTAGAGGTATTAAATTGTGAGAAGAAGAAAGATATATCATGAGGTTAAATAACGAAATAAACCATGCACTGTTAACCGCGAGTTATTACTTGACAGTTTCTGCAAATTATTATTCCTGATAACAGCATGCCCCAAGAAAACATCCCAAGGGCACGTACGTATATGGAGGGAGTATTGTTTAGAAATGTCTGTTTTGGAATTTAACGCGGGAAAGTGTCGAGTCCTTTCTGAAGATTGTACGTATATGCAAACGAGAAGAGTAGATATATATATATAGAAGACAGATTCACTATATACTTTTACTTTCCGTTCCCTTTACTGAGTGAATTAACCATGCATTTTGAACGCGAGTCTGTTAGTGAGAGTTGTATAGACTATTATTCCTGGTAAAAACATGTTCCCAATCTATATATAATAACCCAAAGCTAAAGAGAGCGAACTTTCCTTCTGTAAATATAATTGCATTGTACACAGTATATAGGACACTTCAAGTTGCTCAGGCTTAGCTAATTATGTGCAGGTATAAACAAATTATAATGAGGCTAGTCTTTGGTTGAGGAATTGACGCTAATTAGTTATTTGTGGATGTCCCAACAAAAAGTGACACCACAGTATAGAAATTATCCTATTGTTGTTAATTAATATAGCACAGGATTTCGTGCGCCTGGTATTTGGTAATTAAAAATACAATTCAATTGTGTTTACGCACTGTTGTTTTAACAACAGCACGATTTCTATAGTGTTACTTCTTGACGATTAGAATATATTAGTTTACTCACTAGACGAAAATTCATAATGTACTGTCTCGACCAACTAGCAAGCCTGGTTTTAACAGTTTCGACGCACAAGTGCGTTTGTTTTGGAACATCATGTGATGATCGTATACGTTTGACTGACGAAAATTCATAATTTTTCGTCTCGACCAATAAGCAAGCGAGTTCAAGCGCATTTTTCGTTTTCGTACGCTTTCGTCGAATTGTGCATGTCAACCATAGGCGTACGGGACGGGGGGAGCAGGGGGGGGCAGCTGCCCCCCAAACAGATTA